ATGAATTGCTTTTTAAAAATAAAAAATATAAATACTCAATTAATGTCACGAAGTAATGAATTCTTTATTTGTCCTAAAACTTTTTACGTAAAATTTTTCCAAAATTTGAATCATTATTAAATTTCTATTTTAAAATTAAAAGAAAGGTCAATTCATCATTAATAAACTTTGCCACATAAGCAACCAATAAAGGGTTGTCATCTCACCTTAATATAGCCCACATAAGCTTGACACTTGACGACTTTCTAGCAAACGGAGTCTCAAATATTATATTAAAGGACTATATTTTTTATAACTAAAAATAAATTTTTATACAATCCTTTTTTAATTATGAAATACTATAAAAGGTTAAGTGAAATTGTAACAAAAAGCACTCCAGCTTGAATGGTTAGGAACTCAATTAAATTACCAAGAGATCTTGGGTTCAAACCTCATGGTGGTATTCTTTAGGAAAAAAATTGCAAAAAAAAGGTCCAATTCGACTGGCCGGTTTGTCCAAAAGGGTGACACATCAAATTTGCCAAATGTCGTGCCAGAGCTCCGCCAAATGTCGTGCCATAGCTTTGCCAAATGTCTCCTTCCTACAGCTCCGACTCTCCTTTATATATATAAAGGATTAAACAAACCCCGCGTATGCTTTTTTAAAATGCATCTACATCGGGTTAATTTTGATAGGACTTTGCCCCGACTAGTTTTTAGAAAAAATGGGCTGAGACGGATCAGCAGATTGTGAAATTTTTTTGCAATCGATCCTAACCTAGCTTGTTTCAAATGGTTCGGTTCTACAAATAGTTCATGCATTTTTTTCTAATTAAATTAAGAATTTAAAATACATTACAAATAAATAGTAAGAATTTACAATACATTACAAATTAAGAATTTAAAATATATTACCTAAATAGTACTAAAACATAGTGATTTTTCCAATGTAGTACCATAACGTTTCGGAAATGGAAGGCTTCGAGTGTCTTCAAACCCCCAAAGAAAAGAGGCGAAGGATAAGGAAGTTTAGGGTCTCTTTATTTCATGTGTAACCAAGGGTTGTCTCTCTATTTATAGCTCATAGAGGGAAACCCTAATCCTACATTAACTACGTTGTCTATCGGTCTATCCTGACGGTTCAAGAAATTACAATAAAATCTAAATTACAATAATAAATAATTAATATTAATGAAATATTAAACGTCATAATCTTCCTGCCAAGTTGGACGTCTCCTCTCGCGGTTGCTCCCGTTCGGCGCACGTTGGGCAAACCCCATATTAGAGTTCATTTTCCCATCTCTTGTTCGTCGCCTAACTCCATCTCTTAATAACTCTTGGGCCGCAAAAATGCTTTGCTAACAGTAGCTCAGACTAGAACCTAGCCCCGCCTCAAGAAATGGGGTTTCTGTATGAAATGCAAAATTGTCGTTATTAATTATTAATTTTATTAAATGATAGGAAACAGACTGGTCTGGGTCTACTTATTCTTAAATATTAGGAACCAGTCCGGCTCGTTTTGCTAAAGGACCTGCCCTGCCTTGGCCTGTTTTCAAAGAAAATATTTTGGACGTGGCCCTAACTCGCCCTGAACCGTGTGCTTCGTTTCAAACACGCGATTCCAAACATGTTTGCCCACCCCCTTGAAAAAAGTATTTTATTATTTTAAAAGGGTAATTTACCTAAACAAGACTAAAATATAATGACTTTCTCAATATAGGACCATTTGTTTTTATTTCCCAATGTAGGACCATTGGTCATTATCTATTAGTCATTATTCAACTAAATGTCCAGCATCACTTGGACATTATTCTTTTCACTAGTCATTATTAAGTCCTATTTAGAAAATAAAAAAGTTTAAGTCATATATTGGGAAATGACTTATTTTTTAGTCCTATTCAATGCAAATTTCACTTATTTTATTTTTCTACTTTTCAAAGCAAGAGGATCTTTCTTGAAACAACATACTCCCTCCGTCCCAAAAAGATTTACACCTTTCAAAAAAATTGCGTCCCACAACCTCCTACCCATTTCTATTAAAAAACTACTTTTACCCCTTATTTTTTCAAACCCTACCTATCACATCATACCTTTTTCCTAATAATCTACACATCACATCCTACTTTTACCCATCACATCAAGGGTATTTTTGAAAAGTCAACACAAAATTATCCCTCCCTTAATTTCAACTTTAGTCAAAATGTGTAAATCTTTTTGTTGTTGTTGTTGTTGTTGTTGTGTAAATCTTTTTGGGACGGAGGTAGTATTTTATTTTATAAATTTCTGTTTATTTTCATTTTCAATTTTATTACACATATTTTTTAACAAAGAAAAAATATTTAAGTTTTTATTTACTTGATATACATATATGATGTGAGTTTATTTTTTATTTTTCTATTTTTGTAGCACCCTTCTATTTAAACCTGTGTTTTGTGGTCATTGTTTTTGCATAGGCATTTTGTTTCGTTTTCTTCCTGCCTATGCCTTCCTAAATTTGAGTGGAACAAAGATTCAAAAATGGAGAAGTTCTAATTCCAAATTCAACATCTGGTGCCTATTGGATTTTGCTGGATTTCTATTGGGTTGGCAACAATCTGATAGAAATTCAGCATTTTAGGCCTTCAGAGTAGCAGGTATATGTATGTTCCTTGTGGATCTTTGAAAGATCATCATCTTTACTTGTTATTCATTACAAATTAAATTCCCATTTTTTTCCCTCTTAATGATTTGTTCTTCATTATATTCTTGAAAGTTTGTTATTGTAATATGAACATTTGTTCTAAAATTCATCTGCATTATGCATATTCTCTTCATTTCTTAAGGTGTCACACACACACAATCACGATTCGACATGAAGAAATCAAAATTGGATGAAGAACAACAAAGAAGAAATATTTAATCATGCACCAAATATTACATAAGGTTCCATAACTTAAGATCATATTCATGTGGTTTATTTTTTGTCTTTCATATTGTCATTTTTGTGGCATGTAGAAAAATATTGAATTTTCCAGCAATGTTTAACCTGTTTTAATTTGTTGATTTCAGGGCACATTAATAATCAGTCAAGGGTTAGCTTCTGATTTTTGTAGTTCTTGTTACATCATATAGCGAAAATAATGGATCAGTTCCGCCAGATTGGGGAGGTTGTGGGTAGTATGAAGGCCTTAATGGTGTTGAAGCACGAAATCGTAATCAACCAAAGGCAGTGCTGTTTTCTTCTCGACGTCTTCGTTCAGGCATTTGACAAAATCTCTGACGAAATCAAACAGAACCTAAGATTAGACGAGAGGAGCGCGAAATGGAAGCCCCTTGAGCGCCCTCTGAGAGAGCTTCATAGGGTTTTCAAGGAAGGCGAATCGTACATAAAGAGCTGCATTGACATCAAGAACTGGCTGGGGAAGGCTGTGAGTCTCCACTTGAACAATGACTGTGTGGAGCTTCATGTTCACAACGTGCTCTCATGTTTCGTTGTGGTGATTGAGGCCATTGAGGCTGCTGCAGAAATCTCAGGCCTTGACGAAGAACTCATGCAGAAGAGGAGACTCGCGCTGTTGAAGAAGTCATGCGATTCGGAGTGCAATGACCCAAAGCTTTTCCAGTGGAAGTATGGGGACCAGTACTTGGTCTCCAGAGAGACTTGCATTCTTTTGGAGGGCATCTGGAGAGAAGACAAATGGCTGCTTCTTGAGTTGTTGAGGCAGAAGAAGAAGAAGCAGACCAAACTGCTGGCAGATGCGTTGATCAATAAGTTGAACGGATCAGAGACAGATGGTAATAAGCTGTTACCCACTTCCCTGTTACTAGAATCGGATGACTATCATGTGAAGCGGCGCATTGGATCAACCGGGAGCCATCTCAAAGAAATCCAATGGTTGGGAGAAAGTTTTGGGCTTAGGACATTTTATGGGGACATTGAACTGCTTAGGCCTGAGATTGACATGGTCATGTCGATGTGCCACCCGAACGTGCTGCAATACCATTGTGGGTTCTATGATGAAGAAAGGAAAGAGGGGTTTCTCGTGATGGAGGTGATGACCAAGAGCTTGGACGTACTGATAAAGGAGAATTCTGGGCAGAGGAAGAGAATGTCATTCTCCATCCCTGTCGCAGTCGACCTGATGCTTCAGGTTGCCAGGGGGATGGAGTATTTGCACACAAGAAATGTCTGCCATGGAGAGTTGAACCCATCTAACATTCTTCTAAGGCCAATGGGTTCGTTTTCTGGCGAGTGTTACTTCCATGTCAAGGTGGGTGGGTTTGGCTTGTCCCTTTTGAAGAGCCAGTACACCCACAGAAGCTGCCCCAGGCCAGGTGCAGATGATTCATTGGTCTGGTGCGCGCCCGAAGTTGTGGCTGAGAAAGCTGCTGATGTGGCGAAACATTCGGAGAAAGCTGCTGACGTGTACAGCTTCGGGATGCTGTGTTTCCAGATTCTGACAGGGAAAGCGCCGTTTGAGGAATGGGAGAGGCCTCTCCAGGGAGACAAAATGGTGTACAGTTTGATGGCTGGGGAGAGGCCACTTTTCCCACACTCATTCCCTAAATATCTCATAAACTTGATCAAGAAGTGTTGGCAAACCAGCCCGAGCACACGCCCCAGTTTCTCTGCGATCTGTAGGATTCTTTGGTATATGAAGAAGGTGCTCATCATAAATCCTGACCATGGTCAACCCGGGTGTCCCCCTCCACTAGTCGAGTATTGCGACATTGAGGATGGGTTCACCAAGAAGTTCCACAAAAATGGGGTTTTACCTGCAGTGTCAGAAATCCCTTTTCACATGTTCGCGTATAAGCTTGTGGAGAAGGAGAAGACTTCAAGAAACGATGTGACATGCGATCCGGGCGAGCATCTGGTTTCAATAGATGATCTCTGCGTCATACCCAATGACGGGTCCCACAGGCGATCGGCGTGCTCTGAGATTATAGACAGGAAGGATTTGGGAACATATGCAGATCAAAGATCTGTCCTGTCTGAGATCCCATATTCGAAGCCCTCTTTGGGTGATCACATTTCAACACTGTCTGATGAAACATCAGCAGCTTTTGCAGATAGCCCTGACTGGAAACTGCTATCTGCACTGCCAAAAAGCCATTCCATGTCTGCTACAGGCAGCATTAATAAATTTAAGTTTTCCGAATCTGCCCAGAAGAAGAAACCCGTGGCTGAGCGAAAAGGAATGTGTTCTGAGGTTTTGGGAAAGAAGGATTCAACTCCAAAGAGAGTCTTCACTGCTGAGCCAAAACCAGTAAGACCTGATGAGGCTTCAGAAAAGACATCATCTGCAGCTGGGAAGAAAGTGGGAGACACTCAGACAGCAGTTCATTCTGAACCCACGCGAACGAAATTCTTAAGCAATATGAAAGCCAAATTTAGGCTAACCAAAATCCCAGAAAAGAAAACTCTGGGTTCCATAACAGCACGACCACCAGCTTCTCCGGATAGTCCTCATAAAGCAACCACTTCAAATCCAAGAAAAACACTGAAAAATGCCATCATTAACTATAGTGTGAAAGGAAAACAGCAGAGCAATGAAGCAGCAGGTCAGTTTCTTGTTTTGCTGAGTATACATATCATAACTCCCACATTTTAATTTCTTGAAAGTTCATGTTATGATCATGTTGAATGCAGGGACAATGCAACAATATCGGTCTCCAGGAGCTTCACCTGCAAGGGTGACAAGAACAAATTCTTTGGGAAGATTTTCATCTCCACTTTCTTCACCACTGCATCCTTCCAAAGTGCTCTCACCAGCAAGACTTCCTCCGTCAAGATCCATGAATTCGTGTCCATCTCCAAGCTTAAGAGCCATTAAAGATAAGCCGCAAGAATCGTTTATGAGCCCCCGTAGACAGATGAAAGTTGTCTGATGAAAGCCTAGAAAGATGTCTTTTTTAGGCCTTCCCATATTTTCCCAATTCCCAGCACATTGGTATAGACATTTTTCTTCTTCATCTTCTAAACATTCACCCACCTTCACCACTTTTGTAAACAGATAAAGGGTCTAGAAATTGAATTGAATTTTGATGTAAAGAATTGTTGTAACAAGAGAAATAATAATATTTGACTGAACGCAATGAACTTTAGGTTAATGAACGCAATGAACTTTAGTATATGTGACTTAACATTACACTGTATTAAAAAAGATAGTGGAAAGATAGGTTGAAGAATTTCCAAAGAAGAATAAGAGTAAGCTACATTAGGATTGTAATTAAAAAAGACAACACTAGTAATGGATAAAGAGGGTTCCTCGTCCTATAATCAAGACCAAGCAATGATTACATATATAATACTTGTACCAAACACATCATGACTACACATAACATTCCATGCCTCGGTATTACCAAAAATGTAGCGGGCCCTCGATGTGCTTGAAGTCTTCATGCGCAACGTCCATGATATGTTAGGTTGTTCACCCCACCCACTTTTTCTGTTGTTTGTGTGGTAGGTGAAGTGTCCGACGAACTTCCAAACATTTTTCTTCAAGTCGCGCCACTTATCAATCAACATGTCTACCGTACGGTAGTTATCTCTCCACTGTTTCAAATGAACTGTTTGTGGAAGCGATCCCAAAAAGTATTAAGTTTTTTGTTGTTGGCTACTTGGCTAAAAAAAATTTAAAAAAAATGCGTTAGGTGAAATTTAAAAAAATCGTTCCAAAAAAAAATAGTAAATAAATAATATTCAATATATTAGAAGTAATGATAGAATGAATTCACAGCTCAAATATTCATCTTATTGAATACATCTCTAATGATGTCTATAAATATTACAAAGTTACTAATGGAGACAATCAAGGAAAGTGAGTGGAAGTTAATCAAATATCTTGATTGGTAATTTGATTCCAATCAAGGATATCATCAAGATATTACACTATTCTACACTATTCTTCTTTTTGTTTGATATTTCTAACACTCCCCCTCAAGTTGAATCATCCGTTTCGGATGTTTAACTTGCTTAATGTTGCTTGAAAGACTCCAGCTGGCACTGCTTTTGTGAGAATGTCTGCCAATTGATCTTCAGATCGGACATATGGAAGACTAATGATATCTGCCTCGAGTTTCTCTTTGATGAAGTGACGATCAATCTCGATGTGCTTGGTACGATCATGTTGAACTGGATTCTCTGATATACGAATAGCAGCATTATTATCGCACATCAGTCTACATTTACCCTTCGGCGGATACCCCAAATCTTTAAGGAGTTTTCTTAGCCAAAGAACTTCAGTAATTCCTCGAGCGATCCCTCTGAATTCTGCTTCTGCACTTGATAGAGCAACTACCTTTTGTTTCTTGCTTTTCCATGTGACCAAATTACCTCCAACAAAGGTGAAAT